GGATCATAATTATTTTCAGCAAAAGATGAGAGCGTCCATTTAGTACAGGGTGGCTCAAGACAATGCATGTTTGAGTCTGAAAACTGGGAAAGCAAATCCCTTGTTGAGCTTGTGCTTTCTGGGCTCTGGCAGCTGAGGTTATCCTGTGTCACTGTGACTGGCTGCACAGATATTTCTGAGCGAGGCTCTGCTGTGGTGTAGTACACCTGGGTATGAGGGTCATATTCTGTGCGCAGCTGCACTGTAGATTGCATTGTAATCTGAGTTTCATGTGCAAAACTGTGACTGCTGTAGGGTGGTGGAGGGCTGTAGCGAGTGTTATCATTATCTGCATATGCTTGAGGCTCAATCTGAATCACTCTGCTAGTACATGGACTGAAAGAGAGGATACAAACATTCATTTACACTCAGATACATCTTCATTTTCATCAGACAAGACAGCATAGTCTTTAAGCATATAAAACTAAAATTAGTTTTTTGATACTTCAGTTACATATTTTTTGATGAAGATTGTGTTTTGCACTTTAAGGAAACATTTTGTTAAACATGAGTGAGAACCAGATGCCTACATAAATAAATGTCTCTCTCTTGTGGCTACATAAAACCAAACTATCAATGTTTGCATGAAGAAATTAGCATTCATTCACATAAGCCAGTTAATTACACATGCAAATCAGGTACTTAGACATGTAGTTCCACAATTTGTATATTCCAACATGGATTTGGGTTTGCCTCTCTTGGTAACCATAGTACAGATTCAACTATTCAGAAGAATAAAACTTAAATGCATGATGAGCAGAGTTCCCTTGTTCCCTCTGTGCACAAACCATCTGCAATGAAAGTGGAAACCATAGACAGTGCTTCAGATTAGCTCCCCTACTGGCAAGGGCACTGAAAGCCACTGAACAAAAAATTTATACCCTATAAATTATGTATATTCAGTTGGTACTATTATTTGAAGCCAGGGATGCTGATGTATCCACAGAACTCCCTTGTTTCAGCACCCTAACCAGTAACTCTAGCCTTTCCATAGACTCTCCTCCATAAGCACTTGCCAACAAAACTGGCTCAGTGCAAGTGGGGGGTGAAAGAGTGCTGCACCCATTTCCTGAGTGGCAGAACTGATGCTGCAGCCCCATCTCTGAGGGCTTGTCTACACTATGCGAGTTACAACAACATGTCTATGGCACTGTAGCTGTCATAGAGTTAACCCTCATGGCAGCAACAGAAGTTCATTCAGTGCTGTAGTAACTCTACTTCCCTAAGTGACAGTATCTAGGTTGATCGAAGAATGTTTCCATTGACCTCGCCAAGGCTGCAGCATGGTATTCAGCTGAGGTGCTTAGGGATATGGACTTGAACACCTCTGAGCCCTGTAGCTACGTCACCTCTAGTTTTATGTGTAGACCAAGCTTAATCCTTTTCAAGTCTGTCCTACTGTGACATTAGCCCCTCTCCCAGGCCTACAAAGAGCCCATACTTCACGTCACAATTCTAAACTTTTGGAAAATTTTGTTTAAAGGTTTCCATATTCAGGAGTAATAATCATATAGAGCTGACAATAACTTTCAGTATAAGTGATGCTTTGGGGCCCTCACATTTCGGCCTATCCCAAAGAGAAACCTCTTCAATTTCTGCACAAGGGCCCTTCTTTGGGATCCTACAAAAACAGCAAAAACAATGAACTAAACACTCGTGGTTATTCTCAAAGCACCGGTCTGCTGCAAACTACTGGAAAGTAATGTTCCAAGAAGTAAAATGAGTGTGTGTGGCACAGTATGTATGGAACAGAGAAAGCACTGTTTATTGTTTTACATCCACTCAGGCATAAAACTCAGATAGTGAACATGCTTCACCTGTTAGCAATAAAACCATGCTGACAACATGCTACAATGGGTCTGATCCTGCAGTCTTGAAACAAGCAGAACTCCTGCACACTGTAGTGGGAGCTACTCACACAGAAGGGCTCTATCAGAGCCCTAGGTGTTAACTGCAAGGAGATTGTTTGAGACAGAGTAACCATATCAAACAGACTCACCTTGTAAAACAGCAGAATATATCCAATCTCCTGTCCTCCCGACGATAAAGGTCCATGCTTAGGATAGCAGGAAAAATTAGCAGAACCATGGCAAAGTTGAATACCACAACAACAGCAGCCTAGAAATCAAGTGGAGGTAAAGAGATTCCGTCACTAAACTTCATGCTTTTAGCACACAGGCTTTAAAAAGCTTACTAAGTCCTTTCAGTTCCAACATATCTATCCATTTATCACGTCAACTCATGAGTACATTCAGACTTTAGCCAGAGGGGGGCTGAAAGAGGTATTTTTACATTCCTATTTCATTGTGGTGCATCAACTGTATTTAATTAAAGTCTCTAAAATTAAATTTTATATTGTTCTTATGCATATCCACCAAGATGTGGTGACAGCTATATTTAAAAAAAATAATTACAATAAATTATATTTTGTGAGAATTTTTATCATTGTAGTTTTAGTAATACAGAAAGAAAAAAAACACAATCTGGGGTTAAAATTGTAACTATCAATTTGAGGGTTATGAAGTCATTTAGCTACCACTATAACATTACAGAATCATGTTAAATCAATAATGGAAAAAGCTCTAATTAAACTTTAATGAAAATGCTATGTGTAGTAATGTACTACACATTTGATGTAATTAGCTAAATTCTAGCTATAAAAACCAGAGTAATATTTCAGGATTATTTATAGAACTCCCCATTCAGGTTTAATAGAGTTTAATTAATGAGCCCACTTTATTAAAATAAGTATTGAAAATGGAACAATGATATTAAGTATTAACTTTAAAATGAAAATTAAAACCAAATCTCAACTGATCCCCTACATATAGTACAAAAACACATACAGTGCATCACATTATTTATTTGCTCAGCAGTAGCATCATGGATCAGAACCCCCTTGTATGAAGTGCTGTCCAACACAGACCAAAATGTTGGACCCTGTCCCAAGAAGCTGACAATCTCCAGTCTTGAAATGATAAAAGATAGGAACAATGGGATCCCTTCACCCAACTAGAGAGTAAAGAGTAAATTAAAATACACACCCAAAATCATTCTCTAAAACACATGCTAAATGCTATAAAAGACCACAAAAGATGCGATGAGTAATGGAAGGTCTAGGGGCAGTGATGGAAGAACAGCATCAAAATCTTATTTCAAACTCAAATGAAAAAAAATGTTCAAATTATTTTGAAAAATATCAACAAGAAATAACTTTTAACTCTTCGCGTATGTCCTTATTAACCAACGACATATGAGAAGCACACACCTCTACTGTGGTTCAATGTGTGTGGCTCAATCTAAGGAAACAGCAGAAACAGATGACATGTTCCCTATGTAACTCTGAGTCATTTGCAATTTTGGCCCACATTTTAAAAAATGGTCACTGACTGAATTCTCAGGTTTTGAATGCCCAAATTGTTACACCTTTGACCTGATTTTCAGAAGGCTGAGGATTTAATAATCCAAAAGGTGGCAAAGAGTATTTCAGATGGTCAGGTCTTCTGAAAAAAAGAAAAAAAATCACACTCTATGTGTCTCAAAACTGCTAACACAGAATCTGTGGCATCCAAAATGAATATCCAGTTTTCAAACTGTAAGCCCCATCATGTGGTCTTAGAGAAGGCAATTTTCAATTTTTTTTCTGTGCCTCCTCTGCAAAACCAGAGTAATAGCTCTCCCAATGGTGATATGAGGATTAATTAGTCCTTGTACAATAGGCTGAAATTGTAAACCACCAATTATTATTACTACTGTTGGACCTCTCTGGTCCTGTACCCTCAGGTCCTGCCTGGTCCTGGATAAGAGATTTTTCTGGTCATTTCAGGCCCCCTGCTGCTGGTCCCTGCACCCTTCCTTTTCCAGTCCCCTTCCACAGGGCTCCCTGGTCCCTCCCCAGCCCAGCTGAGCCATGTACCAACTCCCGCAGCCCAGCTGAGCCACACACCCTCACAGCCCAGCTGAGCTGCGCGCCAGTTCCCAGCCTCTCACTTCTCTGCAGGGCTCCAGGACTATATGATTCTGAAACATCCATGGTCATGCCGGACCAAAGAATCCCAGATTTTAGAGGTGCAACCTGTACTTTCAGAATGTCAGAACCTCTAGTGTAAACATTTTCTAGTTATATTGATTTGAAAACTGTAAATATACTGTACTTTACAGTAGTTTATACTTATGCACCTTTTGAGTTGTTTATATAAAGATCATTAACCAGATTAAAGCAAGATTCTCATATCACTGATCTGACTGGAGATATAACTAATGATAGTTTCTTTAGCATTAAAAAGACTAGTTAGCATTTAACCAACACTTGAATAAGGGAAAAGATCCAAACCCCAGTCCATGATTTATAAATACCACACCCAAAGGTATTTATAAATACCACATCCCCAGGACTGAAAAATTAAGTGATTTCCTTTTGATCCTTTCTAGAATGGATTGAATTTGCTAGGAAAACAAACTGCTGTTTTAGCAGGGGAAGTGTTTACTAAACCTCATTTGCAGATGTTTTGATTAATTAATTAACTAATTAGCATACTAATTCAATCACAGTTGAACCATCTTTAATGCATGAGTAATTAGTTCAGTTAAAGTGAGTGAGTCTGTCAACCTTCCTCCAAAATTTTTGAAATTTTGGTAACTTAGTAAATCCCTGCTCCCAGTTTCCCAATATAGTGCCTGATTTTTCCAGCATCCACAAAACCTCTAACTGGGCCTTCAGCTCACACAGCCCTTTAAGTTATTGGATTCCATTGTAGATACCAACAACCCTTCGGCCCCAGTTGCCTTGGGGCTCTACAGTTAAAATTGCATTGGGATTTGTACTTAAGCAGGATTAAAAGCATTCAACTTCATACTCTAATGGGTAAATTGAGTCTCCACGTTAAATGTAACTATTCTTCCAAAGACTCCTGAATTCTTCAGCATGCAATTTTGGTCACAGGTTTACTTACTTTACCAAAAAAAACAAAACAAAAAAACCCAACAACAATCCTTTTGTGACATTTCCTTCAGAGCTGAAGCATCCCACTCCTTACAAACTCCAGACTTAGTCACCCACTCTCACACAGAGAATGACATCTATTTGTTTTTACAATGAAATACATCAAGCGTTATTCTTCTCTTCAATCCTAAATCATCTCTCTCTCTCAAAAAAAAAAAAAAAAAAAAAAGCCAATGGAACTGATTCAGCGCAACTCCCCCTAAATCCTCAAACCAATTTCTAAAGCATGTCCCTGACTCTGGAACCCCTGGGAAGCAAAAAAAGGGCAGAAGGTGTGCAGAGATGGCGGGTGAGTAGGAAGAGAATCAGATTGGGGGCAGTGTCTGATAGTTAGGGGAGGAAGATTGAGGAAGAGCAGAGTTTCTATGAGCTGATGTATCAGGACCTCAAAGTTTCCTCTCAGTGCTACTATTTGTTGTGAAGGTTTAGCATCTGCATTGAGTGATGTTTGGGTACTGAGGCATTTGAATTAACATGGTGCTTCACTGACAATTTCCTTAATTTGTAGTGATTATGTCAGTAGAAACTGCACCTTAACTCCATGGTCATGGCTAAATTAGGAAACTATTTTGAAATTACTAAATTCGACTGAAGCACTCCCGATTTAACAAATTCAAACTAGCATGTCCTCACTATGGAGAAGCATCAAAATTAGTCAGAGGTAGGCTCTGTTAATGTGGATGTGCTACCTTGGACTTAGAGCCTCAGGAAATAGTTTGAATTACTCTGGGGAGTAGTTATTTTGAAACAACGATACCAGAGCAACCACACTGCCATTATTTCTAAATAACTATTTCCAAATTAGTGTTACTCCTAATGAAGAGCAAGAGTACAGATTTCAAATTCGACAGCCTGTTGTTTTGAAATAATGGGCTTGGTAGTGTGGATGTTCCGCTGTGGGCGTGCTCCAAGGCTTTGCTCCCAGTCTCCCTGCAGACCAGGGAGAGGGGGAGCAGCTTTTCTCGCCCCGGAGGACGGGGGTGGCGGACCGCGGCGCATCTGGGCGTCCCGCCGCTCCCGTCATAAGTCGGATCCGACATAAGTCGGATCCGACATAAGTCGGATCCGACATAAGTCGGATCCGACATAAGTCGGATCCGACATAAGTCGGATCCGACATAAGTCGGATCCGACATAAGTCGGATCCGACATAAGTCGGATCCGACATAAGTCGGATCCGACATAAGTCGGATCCGACATAAGTCGGATCCGACATAAGTCGGGGACTGCCTGTACAGAGAATATGAAATCAACAGGCACAAGACCCAGCAGAGGGAGCTGGAAGTGGGAAGAGCCTCACGCCTCCCTCCTGAAAAGTCAAAAGTTCTGGGATTAGTCCTAGAGAGGAAGGAGCTGGGGCCTCGTTGAAGGGGCTCTTTAAAGGGTGAGCATCAAACACATTCCAAGAATTTGGCTGCTGTAACATTTGCTTAAACATTTTAGTAATCTGCTGCTTTAAAATCTGGTGGCTGCTGCTGCATCTGTTAACTGAAATGAGAGAATGGAAGTCTGTGTTGGAGTCACTGAGGGAGAAGCTAGGAAAGCTGGTAGGTTGGGGCCCTGCCCAAGGTATGTGCTGGTCTTTGCCATTCCTGGCAGACCACCCAAGGAGAGTGGGTGTGCTGCACAGCCAGAGGTGATGAGCAGAAAAGAAGGCCTGTGACAAAGACTTCCACCTTATTGCTGCCTATTAGCAACACCCTTCTGATAGCATATATGGTTTGGAATCCCACTCCACCCCAGGCTTTACTTTTGCTTGTTAAATCCTCATGAAAACAGCAGAGAAAGTTTAAGGAGCTGGAAAAGAGAAGGGGACAAGCTTTTTCAGTGTTACTCTACAGAATAAGATATAATGAATTAATTTAACAACTTCCTTTCATTCTCTCAGTAAAGCACAGGTACCTCTTTCAGTTACATGCAATGCTGTATATTATGTGGGGAAACCCTATACATGGCAACCTACTTTAATATTTAAGAAAAAGTTCATCATTGCTGCATTGAGGAAAATTGTTATGTCTGCGAGTTATTTGGGTAAGTTACATGCTTAATTACTAAAACATTCAAGTAACTCCATGGGACCAAATTCAGCCCTGATATATGAGGGCTAAGTTCCATTGATTTTTCATGGAATTGTGGCTTCTTCTTCCAGGGATGTATTTGTCCTATGAAGTCAAAAGGGTTGCATAGGTAAGGCAGAATTTGACTCAATTTTTATATTCTTCCACTTCCTGTCCCATTTATTAAAAATATCCAAAATGTTATTTTTGAAGATGATCTTACAGCAAATTCACAGATTTTTTTTGATAGCCTATACTAATTTTAAGATTATTATACAGATTTGAAGATTTAGGATTCAATCTTGACAGCCCTCTAGGAAATGAATCAATGTGAGTTAGGGGTGTCTAAGAAGCATTCAGCATCTCAAATTCTATGCCCTCCAAGTTAAATGATTTATGAAAGCACCAAATGACCAAAATATCCCACAATAAAAGCTGTAAAGCAAAACAACCCTCCTCAGATAATGTTGTAGAAGCTCCCTTTAAAATTTCTGATTTTCATTTATTTATATTTGACAAAAGCTAATACATTATGTAAGCTCTGTAAAAGTTACAGAATAAATTTGAATTTAAAAATAAAACCATTTTATGTGCTTGAATTTTTTACAGTAACTGAACAATTCAGAAGTATGGATGCTCCTAAAGCAGGAGGTTCAGAAAGAAGAAAGTACTGATATGCTAGGCTGAAGTGTTGATATGCACTAGGTGCTAGACAGGAAACCACTTATTCTCCATCAGCACCTGGATTATTTTACAGATCTTGGGCCTTGAAAGCTATGGAAACTTTAACAGCTATCTTGCAATGTCTTGAGGAAAGTGAATGAAGAGATAAATAAGGTCAAAAGCAATGCTCTTTATAAGCCCATCTGCTAAAAGTTTGCTATCTAGATGAATAGAAACCAGCATCTATGAAAAAAGGCTGTATTTCAATGCTTTCTAAGCTCTGCTAGGAGTGTGTCAAAGACAGCAAGGAGTTCTTGTTTAAACAAACATGAACGAAAAGGAGAAGGGGGAAGAAAATTGTAAATAAAGAAATCCACATGTAAAAACAGACCACCCACTAGAAACTTACATGGTTAACTGACTCTGAATGTGGTGATTAAATGCATCACCTGATTTTGATTACACCTGGTCAAGCAGTACTGAACAAGTAATAGTTGCCCCCATTCCTAACAATAAAGGGCTTCATTCTCATATTTTTCATTTGTGTTCACATATTATTCAGTTACCAGCAGGTCTGTAGTGCAGGTCATAACGTGAATATTTTGTGCATTATTTCATCTGTCATACGTATAAAATGTGCTACTATATATGAGCAGGGAGAGGTTATGGCAAAATTCATGGAAAGAATGGGCAAGTCTTCTGTTTTAGATGCTGGAAGGATTTAGCAGAAGTTCCTACAGAAAGCTTCTAAGATACCTGCTACTTTATAAACCTTAATTCTGATGTTTGTCAATCTGAGAAACCTGAACATGAAAACCACACTGGCCACATTTCAGTATGCTGAAACCTCATTGGCAGTATCAGACATTTGTTTTTGAAAGCACAGTACATCTGACATGTGCCTGCAACTGTGAACCACTGACTGATCTGGCAGCAAAATTATAGGTCACATCATATATCAGTCAAACAGAAAAGGAAAAAAGTTTAATATATATATGCACAGATGCTCTCTTTGCAGATGTCCTACTGACACTGGGACTAGTGTATTTCTAGAGAGTGCAGTGGGGAAATATTTGAGGCACACTCCCCAGAGCAGCATTGAGTCCATATCTGTGAAGGCACCCCAAAACACATGAGTTGAGAAACTAGGGACAAAAGAAGCTCTCTCTATATGGATCTGACAATTCTTCTTCTACCAATGATCAATATATTGCACTCAAGTAGTTGCTAAAAGACCATTTGGCAGCTACTGTGCAGTATATGAAAGAAAAGAGGAAAACAAGTTTCCAAGGAATCCCAATAGAGATATTGAAAGCCCTTTCTGCTACTTGGGCTAGGTACTGGAGCCTTAGATTTGGGCCATGGAGTAGAAGAGATAATAAATAAGTTAATTCAAAGAGTGTTTAAAAAGGAAAAGGTTACTTTAATATATGTTAATCATTGTGTACATGAATACGTGTGAATCCTGAACAAAGTTTACAACAGTTGATCTTTGACACAAGTTACAAAATCATTTCTCTGTCAAGATCACACATAGGAGATGTAAGTGGCTTTCACAATTAATTGTATTTCCCCATCATCACCACCACAAATGAATGACTGCTAAAGACTCAAGAGTTGCTTCCCTAATTTTAAATATCATTTGGAGACACACAATGCAAAACAGAGATGCCTGTGTTTTTCTGAATTATTCACTATCAAAATGCCTAGAGAAGAAAAATAGTAAACAAATGATTAATGTTCAGTGGACTTGATGCAGCTGTGTAATCAGTGACTGATTTAGTTTCACAGCTCAATGCAGACATGCCTGAGCCTCTGAAAACTGCAATAATTGCCACAGGTATTAAGAAAAATTGCAGCCCTCACTTCCTCTGGAGAGGTCAGGGGTCAAGTAGAATGAAAAACGATTAGAGAGCCAGGCTACAACAGAAGAAAAATGACTATTGAAAAAGTACAGTTTCTCTGCTCTGTACCAAGGTCAGACAGTGCTATAAATTGCCTATGTGTTAAAGCAGTGTCAGAGGAGAACCTCCCAGAGCTCTCTTCAAAGAGCCCTTTAGCTTTTTAAAGGTGCTTCCTTCAGTATCTCTTAATATTTCATCTCTGAAAATATTTGATGACACAAATAAATGCAAAAGAGAGTATGTGCATATGTGTTTGTGTGTGTGTGTGAGAGAGAGAGAGACTTCCATTCATAACTTTCACACATTCAAAGTAGTTGGACACATGAAATTATCAATATACTTTGTACCAATATCTGTTAAAAAGACATTGGGAATAAGGGATATGCCTGTTGCTGGGGTAATAGTTAAAGTGATAGCGATGCTCCTTGTTGCTGTCATTGCACAAGGAATTATACTCCCAGGCTACGTCTACACTGGCATAATTTTACGGAAATGCTTTTAATGCACTTTTTGCGGAAAAGCGTCCATGGCCAATCTAGACGCGCTTTTCTGCAAAAAAGCCCTGATTGCCATTTTCGCGATCGGGGCTTTTTTGCGGAAAACAAATCTCTGTTGTCTACACTGGCCCTTTTGTGCAAAAGTTTTTCGGAAAAAGACTTTTGCCCGAACGGGAGCAGCATATTATTTCCACAAAAGCACTGACAATCTTACATGAGATAGTCAGTGCTTTTGCGGAAATTCAAGCGGCCAGTGTAGACAGCTGGCAAGTTTTTCCGGAAAAGCAATTGCTTTTCCGGAAAAACTTGCCAGCAGTAATCTTGTTTTGTAGGCTACTATAGAACCTACTGCTTTGAGAGAGAGACAGAAAAAGAGAGAGAGAGAGAGAGAGAGAGAGAGAGAGATTTCTGCCTTTCTATTTTTGTGCTAGGAGACCATTTGGCTGGGTAAGGGTGCTCTTTCATTCTCCCGGTGAAAAGAATGGGTGTTGTCACTTCCTTCTATATGTGTGGCAGACTGGGGAACAGAAGTCAATGCAGTGGAATGAACAAGTATCAGGTACTGACCATTATACTACCAATGAGCTACTATCCGGGCCCTACCATGATATGAGCAGAATCATAAAAAACAACAAAACAGGATATCAACTTACTTGGAGAGAAAATGCACGTAAAGCGGGAATAGGAATTAAGGCAGCCATAAAGAAAGCAGTAACATTGCTGATAGATGTAAGGGCAACGCTTGCTCCTGTTCGTTTCAAACATTCACCTGTTCTATCCTGAAAAACATACAACATATCTTAAGAGTTCAATGAATTCAAGAGTACACGGCATTGGGGGTTTAAGGATTAGATACTGCAAATGGACTTGTGTGGTAGCAGGGAGAGAGCAACCTTGTAGATGTCACATGATGCCAATGACAATCTATTACAAGTCCATACTGAAATAAAAAACTACTGACTTAACACAACCTGAAAATAGAGCAGGCTCCACAAAGTGCTAACAATTCATTAGGGGGAAAAGAAGGCTTAATATGGCTTCAAAATTCAAAGATAAAGTGATGAGGAGATCAGATATCAAATATTTCTTTTACTAACTAGGTTATGTTTTGTATCAGTTCAGTCACTTTTCGTTTTAAATATTTTTCAGATAAAATAAAAATGCATTAAACCAATGATTTTCAAACTATGAGTTGCAGCCCAGTACAGGGTTGTGGAATGTCAGGCAGTAGGTCTTGTTGCTGAAGGGGGATCAAGTAACCAGCGGGGGTGCTAAGGCAGGCTACCTGCCTTTCCTGGTACCGCAGACTGTGCTGTGCCCCAGAAGCAGCTGGCAGCAGGCCTGGCTTCTAGGTTGGGGGGGCGGGGTGAGAGAGCACACAGGGCTCTGCACACTGCCCCTGCCCCGAGCACTAGCTCCACACTACCAGGTTGGTTGGGAACCTGCTGGTTACTTTTGGGATGCAATGTGGTCTGGTGCCAGGAGAGGCAGGAAGTTTGCCTTAGCACCCCCGCTGTACCACTGACTGGAAGCTGCTCAAAGTAAGCCCTTCCTGCCTCAGCCCTGACACACACACACACACACACACACACACACACACACACACACACACACACACACACACACACACACACACATACCTCACAAAGCCGGTACCTTCTCCTATCCCCCAAAGCTCATCCTCAGCCCCATCCAGAGCCCACACTCTAGTCAAATTTATGTTGGGTTGTGTGTGTCAACAATTTTCGTCAACTGGGTCATGACAAAAAAAGTTTGAAAATCATTGCTTTAAACTCAGGCTAAACTATGTATCTACATGTCTTAGGAAGCATATAGCAACAAACGCAGGACCACATAAAATTCTTAATTTGTTAAAAAACAACAAAAAAGGATTGTTCGCCATCCTACCAGGTTGTTTGCCATTGGTTTTAAAGCACATGATGACTACAAGTAAAGGAGCTTGTGGTGCTTGTGTGCCAAATGACAAAAGATCACGTGGAAGACAGTTTGTATAAAATAACAAACAAGCAAATGCATGTTTGGTTTTTTTTGCACAGATTTGTAATTCACATACAAAACTCCAAACTGAATATAAACCCCTATTTAGAGGAAGAATACTGAAAAAATAAGAGGATTTGAGATTTCACAACACTCATGTGCTAACAATTATATGGTATTTTCAATTATCACAGCTTTATAAATAAAATGGAATTACGGAACATGCATAAGTCAAAACAAAAACCCATTCAACTAATTTATTTCTATCGAACAATTAAAATGAGTGTTTGGTTTTCAAATTTATTCCCGTTTGCTCCTTGATGTCTTAAAACTTTAAATGCCAAAATATTTTAGCATTTTAAGGTCACAATCCTATATTCCTTTCAGACCCCAAAACATACATTTACCTTAACTGGAGTTATGAGTGTACAGAAGAGAAAGGGTTGCTTCCTCAATTATCTAATGCATCGTATATAAATATTAAACTTCTAAGTTAAAATAATCAAAACAGTTTTCTCCCCACTCCATACCTATAAAAAGACCATTAATCTCAATCGCATTCTGTATTTCTGAAGCTTTTCCTTTATTTGCCCCAACTCCTATTTTATCATTACCTCAAATGGAATTCTCTTATTCTGCCCCGTTTCACTAAATGCATGTGCCAAAAGGAAAACATCATCTACTCCAACTCCAAGAGCAAGAAAAGGCAAAACCTGTGAAAAAAAAAAAATCAAGGAATCTGTTATATTACACATATGGCCTATCATGTAGCTAAATAGTAAAAGGCTAATTAAATAATATTCCAAGCACACTCTAAACAGGAATCCAGGGGCGGGAACAAAACAGCTAAAGGATAAAGTAAGGCTCCTTTTGCATGCAAAACTCCCACTGAAGTCAATGAGAGATTTGGGTGGACAAAGAATCCTGGATTAGATCCCAAGTGTGTTTTGTTAGAACTTGGTCAGCCAGATACTTTCAGACACAAGAGCAAAATGTCTGATCCCTGCAGAAATCAGTGCACAGGGGTCTGCCTGTGTAAAGCAAGTTGCAGGATTGGGGCCCTCTCTCTTTAACACCCACCAGGAGCACTATTCTTGCAATTTCTCACAGTGAAATGTGAGCTGCTGGAGGAAACAAGTATAGAACTAAGCTCAGCATTTTTATTTCATTTTTTCAAAGTGACTCTGATGGGTTTATTTACTAACAGAGCACTTGTAATCTAACAGCAGACTAAACAGCTCTTTAATACCTGAGTTGTGGCAGCATTAAAGGAAATTCCAATCAATGAGCACAGTCCCAATCCTGCAGCCACTGAGAGTGCAACCAACAAGACTCCTGCCAGCCCCACGGCACCCTGGGACTTGGCGCAGTCCCACCGCAGCATGGTTAAACAGGCATAGGCAAGCTGAAAGCAGAACAATGGGAAAAAAAACAAAAGCAAAACATTAGAATGTGCCATATTCTAATGTTTCCCTCCCCCTGACCAAAAGCTTGCATACAAAATACATTTTTAAAAGTGTACACACTTTAGAGGTGGTATATAAACGAACAGGTGATACTCATAAGTCAAAGACACTCAAATTGCAAACTTTCAATTTCATCCTAAGCATTATGAAAATGGCATGACTCCATAAGCTGGAGTCACTCATGCACATGTATGTTAAAAGCAGATAGAACACTAGAGATTGTTAAATAAAATTTACATTTATTTTACCATTAATAAGTAGCCGCTTGCAACTCTTATAACACTGACATCAGAAAATGATTTTAGAATGTCATCCAGAGTAGTGGTAGTAAAGGAAAGCACTTTCTGAGTAGAGTTTTGTGCAACACTTTGATGAACAACCTATGAACAGAAATGTAACAATAAACATTAATATATGAAGGGGATACATTATGAGCTTTCTGCACTTGAAGCCAATTATTATATTAATTGTTAGCATTAAAACATACACCTGTCAGGCAAGATTTTGTTGTCCCTCCTTGAAATCACAAATGTATTTGGTGCTTATTCACTGCATGCTATTTATGATCAAGTTAGAATGTATGTCTTGCTGGGAAGACCATTGCAATCACAGTTCATTCAGAACAATTTTAAGTATTGACATTTAAGGCTTTTCTGCTCTCCTCCTTTTCTCTCTAACTCTGTAATTGACTTGTTATATCAGTTTTGCCTCTAATCCAAAACAACAAATTCGTAAGGGCACTCCTCTCTTTCTTCATTGGCTCGCTACTTTAGGGAGGTCACAAGCAGCTCAGCAGAGGTCAATGCCTGGGAAACAAAGGCCAGATAATGTCACATGACCTCACCAATGGGACTGCAGCTGTGAGGAGATTCTATAGCTAGCTAATGTTTTCCAGACACCTTTCCCCAGTAATCACACTGACCAAGTGCTTTTAAATTCAGGCACGCACTTGCATCTTTAGTTCATTTCGAATCGTGGCAAATCAGAAAAATGTTCTCAATAAAAAGGAACAAAAAATAAAGAGTACCTTTTCTTAGTGCACTCATATGGGATCAGCCAAATAGTTATATTAAAAAGAAAGAAAGAAAAAGAGTATTTTAAAATATTCTGTTGTAGTAAATACATTATTAGTTTAAAGCCAGAACAGACCTATACAGTAAGCATCTTCCTTAATGGAGTATTATAAGATTTCACAGCATGATTTCCAGGTGAATTAGTATTTTACCTCAACATACATCCTCTGCCAGGCTTCCAGAATTGCGGCTGCCTTGTCTTCATTCCAGTTGATGTGTGAAACATAATCATACCCCTTGAAGTGTTCATACATTTGCTTAGGGGTCATTAACTGAAACATGGTCTGTAAAGCCTGAGCACTGTAACGGGAGGGGGAGAAGGAGGAAAAAGGTATAAAACTAACATTTTCAGGAATTGATTTTGAATGAGAGCCTTAAAACAACTTGCAAAAATGTTTTGCTTCTATAATGCATATCAAAATAGCACCAGGACAATTATTCTATTTAGTTATTCGTGCTGCTGTATTGATATATACAGTATATAAGGCCACTAAAGACAGTGAAAGCTTTGCCATGAACTTCAGTAGAATCAGTTTCAGGACTAAAAGGATATATATAACCTTACAAATCTGTTATGGACAAAGGACAAAAATTAAATTAATATCAATTTACTACAGGTTGACCCTCTCTAGTCCAGCACGCTTGGGACCTGACCAGTGCCGAACCAGAGATTTTGCTGAACCACGGGAGGTAAATATTGTCTAGCACAAGGCTGGGCAAGATACGGCCTGGGGGCCAGATTTGGCCCATCTAGCACTTTGATCTGGTCTGCAGACTGCATATATGGCTGCTTTCTATTTACATCCTGCTTCCCGTGCCACTGAATTTCCAGGAGGTGGCTGAAGCAGCAGGATCCTATTTAAATGGCTCCCGGTTGCGATGCTACCCCAGCAGGAGCCAGATCCGTGAGCCTTTTAAATAGCTACAGCAATCCCAGTTGGCTGCAGAGCACCCTTTTGCCATGAGGCTTTTGCTGTGTTTTTAATTCAAAGCCTTTGGTCCTCACAAGTCTGGGAGAAGGCCAGTCCCCAGCCCCGCCCCTTCTACCTCAGGCTCCTCCCCTTCCAAGGGTGGAGCCCGCCTGTGACCATGTACCAAAATTCATTAAGTGGCCCTCCTGCAAAAATTATTGCCCACCATAGTCTAGCAGCATTACCAACACTTCCCACTGCTTACTGGGATCTTGGAAGACATTTAGGGGTAAGTTAAAGCTAAATAACAGCACAGAACACTGAGAGCCAGAACTGGTGGCAGTGAACAACCTTTATGGGACTATGGGACACTTGGCCACAACCTTGATAAGTGGACATCCAGCTAACTAAAATCATACTGGACCACTGATGTTGTCAGATCAAGTGTACTGGACTCGCGAAGTTCAACCTATATCTAATTTTTAATATTGCACTAGGGAGGGCAGAGGACTAGTTGTTTTCACCAGATACTGCACAATGTAGCAAGTTGTCGATATTTCTTCATCTAGTGGCTCTGGGATTTTTGTTTTCCTTAGGGAGAAATGCCAGGCAGAACTCTTGACAAGCAACAAGAATTACTCAAAGGCTGATTACTTTCACCAAATTTTTGGTCTTCATTTAACATTATATAATTGTAACTAGCACACATAGCCATCCAAGAAAAGACCTTACATGTTTCACTTTAGATACATTTTTGGCTATTTCTTTTAGCAGTTTATCTTTCCAGAATGTATTAAAAATTCATTAAATATAAAATAAAACCTCCTTAACACTCAGTGTAAAAACTGCAAAATGTTCATCAAAATTTCTATTTAAATATCTGCATGTAATTTTAACTTCTTGCTGATGCTTATTTAATGTCTCAGAATAAACACATCTATTTCATTTTATTTTAATGTATAACCCGTATCTTAAACTTCTGTTACGCAACATATGGAAACTGACCACACGACCCACTTTTTCCCAGACTGTTCTGTTTCTTCATATGATTTGCTGGTGTGCCAAGAATTCTTTTGAGATACCTGCCAGATTCCACAATTTCTATTCAAGATACGCTGCCATACAAAGTAGAATTTGCTCTCAGGTGAGTGCTCTAACCATTATCCTATGGGATATTCTGATGTGGGGCTCCCTCAGCCTCTCCTCTTAAAGTGCAGTACAGTAGTTAGAATGCTCGCTGGAGAAGTGGAAACCCCTATTCAAATCCCTTTTCATCAAGAAGAGGAAGGGCTTGAACCTTTGGTCTCCCACATTCTGGCTGAATACCTTAATCAATGGGTTAATGGCAGGGGTGGACCCGGGGACCCTGCTCCAGCAAAGTATGGGCCTGCTGTGCTGCTAGTAGTGGTAGTGAAGGCTCCTAGGCCCTTTTAAATCAACAGGTATGTGCCTGCACTCCCTCCTACCCCCAAACTCCTTTCCCTGCTCCAGCCCAGAAACTGCTCCCAGCATCCAAACTCCAACCCAGAGCCTCCACCCCTAACCCTTTGTGAAGCCAAACACCCTCTCAGAGCCTTAGGCAGATGGGGTAAGGAAAGAGTTGGACCCATTCTAGACTGGGTACTACCTACGTTTCTACAAATTTGCCACCCCAGGTTAATGACTGTAAGGGAGATGTCTCCTCCTCCTCCTCTCCCTATCCTTTGGATGTTTTGTGTAGATCTAGCAGTCTCTGAGCATGGCTACTGGATTGGATACTGCATGTAAGTTGGTGGAGAAGTGGCTGAAATCTAGGTTCATGAATTTCAAGCACAGATAAGCAGCTGCCTGAAGCCTAAACTTAGGCACCTAAAAGTTAGGGATTGCAACACTAAGCATCACACTAAGTCCCTTTGTGGATATGGTCTTAAGTAACCAGAAAAAGCCCTCCACTCTGAGGAATATGTACAGGTGTGTTGGGTCAGAAGCAGCCAGCAGTGACCACAGTGGGCTTCTCTCTTTTGCACAACAGTGCCACAACTCTAAAAATATCATAATAAAAGTGCCTCTGTTTTTTGTTTTGAAAACATATGCAAGTTGCACATACTGTTAAATATTTTTAAAAATGTGAATAAATATCAAGCTGAACATGTGCCAAAATCATCCCGATTCAAGACAGCACTGAAATGCCTATTTAAACAAATCCTTAAACACATACTTAAATGCTGCCCTTAAAGACATTTTTCTGAAACTGGAACTAAAATACACATTCACTGATTTTAGCAGGCAAATTGTTTTGTACTATGTTTTAAAAAAACCACAAAAGTGTAACTCTCAAGAATGTGTTTTAAAATTGTGTGTGTTTACCTGACAAGTTTTCCAGTACCATTCTTGACTGTTCCACCTACAATCAATTCTTCCTGCCAGTGCATGTACTTTTTTGACAGTCCATAACATCCACCACTCAAAACAAGGGCCACATCAAGAGGCTAAAATAAAATTATTGATAAGTCATCCAGCCGTGTGACTCAGTAGACAAATCATATTTGACATCAACATCTAGTACAATGGAATAAAGTAAATTAAGAGGTCAAATGCTAGAAGCATACGTACTAAACAGAACAGCTTTCATGATTAACATTCCAGCCAAGAGCTGGATCTAACCAAATAGTTTTTCATGAGACTTCAAAGGTTAAACCATACCAATTTTATATGTTAGGTTTCTTTATTTTTACACTGTGTAAAATACAGATTAAGTATATATTTATATGACAGAAACTTCCCACTTGTAATCCTAATACTTAACGAATGCTCTGAAACACAATGTTGACAGTTCTCTGAATAGCCATGTTTGACTTCTCTGTTAATATTCTCAACACAATGCAGTAAGTACTCATGGAGACAGTTGAAAATGATTTGGGTTGGCCAATTGGCTCCCACTAACTTTGGTGAGCTGGAAAAGATCTTCAAGTACATTCAATTCCAGATGAGACTGTCAACAAGTGAACCTCATTTTTTTATTACAATTTTATTTCTTTTCACAAGCTTTTGCCTGTTAATGTGTTTGTATGATGACGAAGTGGGTTGTGAAAGGATAAAATCGAAATGACACTAAAGTACTGGCTTGAGTCAAGCTTTGCACAGGTATTCTATCGGATAGAAGACACAAGCCCCTTCCCCACATATGCTTCTACAGAGGAACAATGGCTAATCATAATTCTTATATGCCGAAAGTACAGTAGAATTCATTCTCTTACTCGTATTCTGATTTTACACTTATGTAACCCTACTGACTTGAGTTTGGTTTCTCAATTCTGGCATCACCAGATTTGTCATAGCGGATTGGCAGGAGCAGGTGAAGTTGAGGCCCTGGACCTGCTAACCCGCTGCAAAGGTCAGCAAAACTGGCCCAGCATGGTACACCATATAAGTGTGTAACAGCAGCTGTGCTCCTCCAGCACTCCAGGAGTCACGGTGCCTGCCTGAGGGCACAATGACTACTGGTGTTCCAGATGTGATAGTGTATCTCTGAAGTACAATCCTCTGTCATGGCTGCAGAGTCATAATCTGACTGAGTATATGGGTCACAGTATTTCCTCAGAGACTGAAGAAAGTTAGCAGCTACTGGTTGAATAATAAAGACTGCTGGGAAAAATGAGACTTGTGTTGCTTTTAAAAATATCATTTCTTTCCCTGCATTCTGCACATATAACCACTTTCCTGAAATAGTCCACAGATGATAAGCAAGCTTACTTTGGTCGAATTTTTGTTGGGGGCTGTGACTGGACAATCAGGATCAGTAGGATTCAGGCAAGGTCGATCCATATAACCATGACCAACCTCTGCTTTATTCAGCATCTCCTCCCAACTCTCTACTTGATAGTTTATTTTTTTTAACTCTTCCAAGAATGCTAAGGGGTCAAAGTTTATCCACTGCAAAGGAGGCTTCCCTCTGTAAAAGAAATTAGAGGAAGAAAGATGGAAAATACATTGAACAAAAATCTTTCTTTTTTTAAAAAAAATCTGTATTTGTACAAAGGCTAGAATGCTATTTTAGTATTTTGAGCTGTAAACTACTTTAGGAAACTATTTTATCAAACAAAATGTATATTTTATTTAATTTATTTATATATTTTCGTCATGTAGTCCTGATGCAACCTTATGTAAAAAGCCTTAGCTTTTTCTAAAAAGGGCATATTTGCATGTTAATTAAATATTTTCACATAGCCACCTTCTCCCTGCCCCCAAAAGGCAGACAACTGCTGCTTCAAAGCATTAATACTAAAAGGGGAGGGTGGAAGACAGAGAGGAGAAAGAATTTCACAGAGTGTCAGATTACCGCTCTTTTAGTCTAATAAATATTTTTTAAATTTAACCAAATATCTGATCTTTATTATCTCTACTAGTGCTGTGCTCCTTCCAATTCTCTGACAGCTTTGCAATCAGCAAGCAAACTCCCTGCTGCCCCAGCCCTCACCACTATCCCTGCCACTTGTCCCACCCCCCACTTTTGAATTTGTGATGTTGATAGACCAGAAAGGCTTTTGGCTGCCTTATTTTGTGGTTCAAACCACACTGTATCTGCTTAACCAGGCTTAAGTCATTATTCCAAATCTCCCAACCAGAAAACACAAAACCCCTTATTTCCCCATCTAAGACTGTAAACTAAAGGTTAGGAGATGGCCATTGCAAATTGCTTTACAGACACATGCAAACCAGGGCAGAAACAATAACTCAAATGCTAGCTCTTGCATAATTAACCAAAAATGTCGGCACAGATTAACAATTAACTCTTTGAAGGATTGAGTGCATATAATATCACACTAGCACGCTGTGGAAAAACTTCATAAAAGATACTATTTTTGGTTTCTTTAATGATCTACTAAACAAAGGATTAGCTTTTTACTCTTTAGGGAAACTTGAGACTTTACTCAAGACAACATTCATTTATCCACAGCTAAACAGAATTCTCAGGGAATTCTTTTGTGATTTTCAAGGACAACAAACGTTTATTTCCATAAAAGAAAAAAAAACTTTAAAAGCCCATAAAAATGAAGCATCTGAATTTTCTTTTGCATGTCACTGTCATGGTAAAAATAAATTAAGATTAATTTGATGCCTTATAATTCAACTTCTGAGGAAAAATAAAATAAACTTTATGGAGCTCTTTTTGGTCAAGTAAAAAATAAAATACATTAGTGATGAGTTAGAAAATGTGTAGTTTTCTTTTCCGTTCAAGCAGAATCTAAAGAAACAATGGGAATGGAATGCGAAAATTTAAACAGTTTTTCAATTAAAAAAAATCATGGACTAGAAAATTAAACAAAACAATTCACTTACAATAGATAGGCAGTCCCTGCCTGTAACTTTGCTCCCTCCCAGAAGCAGTCCAAAGGCGTAATGATTAAACAAGGATAAAGATGTTCTATAATCTGTCAAAGTTAGAAGGGGAAAAAACACATGCATTTAGGCCAGAACACAAGTGGAAGTTATTAGGAATTGTGGAGAAGTAAAATGTGTATAAACCAACTCATGCTATATCTACCTGGTCCATATACCCTGCTTCTGTGATAAGTTCTCCTGATTTAAAACATAAATGTTCCAATTTCCATTGTCTATAAAAAATATAAAGAACAAACATTTTTTCCACAATGAAAAAATTGTATAAACACACACACTTTTAAAATTGCAGTTTACACATGTAGATGCCTCACTTCTAGGTAGCTACAGCACTGAGAAAGGGAGGTCTCATCTGGAGTTGTATTCCATACCTCGCAGTACCTAGGCCTTTTTCAGACATTTACCCTGGGAGAGTTTGTGTTAGGTATGGCAAACAGTATGTACAAAACTCATTAACAACAATGGGTTTACTCTTGGAGCAATGTGTTATTTAACATGAATGAAGGCTGCAGGATCTTGCTCTAAGTGGGACTGCTTATAGCATAAGGCACTAATTAATAGGACTAAAGTGGGGTCAAGCAGGAGGGACAAAATCAGGTTCAGGAGGCAGGAATAATGTCAGCCCTAACTCATCAGTACTGGAGAGTGGGAGGAAGAGTCAGAAGTCCTACTTTGCAGTATAGCTGTATTACAATTGCCATCATCTCAGCTCCCAACACTTGGGGAAGTGAAGGAGCTATCTTTTAGATGGCTCCCCTAGAAACAAATGGGCAGAAAGGGGCAGGGTTTAAGTAGGTCCCTGGCTGTGCCCATGCTAGACACCTGCCGTAATGCACAACAGTCTATCAGATTACTTCTCCAACCAAAGAGAGGCAGAAATTGAGCCTCAGCAGGATACCTAACTATATATCTAGTTCAGTATTGACAGCTGATACAGGCAGTCCCCGGGGTACGTACAAGATAGGGACTGTAGGTTTGTTCTTAAGTTGAATTTGTATGTAAGTCGGAACTGGTACATATTGTAGGGGAAACTCTAGACAAACATTTCTCCAGAGCTCAGTTTTATTCTCCCACACCTCACTTCCCTCAGTCCTTTATTCTCAAGCTGAGGTGTCTGCTGAGAAAAGCCGCTCTGCGTCTCCCTGGTCTGCTGGGGTGAAGCAGCCAGTGCGGGGTTGCCTCTCCCCGTTTGTAAGTAGGGATCCGATATAAGTCGGATCCATGTAACCCGGGGACTGCCTGTACTTATAGTTAAAAATCTCCCTTATTACTAGACACATTTAATCCTATTACCACACTTCATTTATTTTTAGGTAAACCACTTAATGAAGCAGATCTCAAATACATTAAGAACCTGTACACACATCCAGAAACCCAACTTTGTGTTGACACTAAATCAGCAATGCATCCAGAAACCCAACTTTGTAACTTTGTGTTGACACTAAATCAGCAATTGGGAATCCATTTCCCATCTATCAGTATAGCCCCTGTTCCCAAAATTTTGGAATGTTATCTGCACTAGTGTCCACGCTCATTACCTGTTTCCTTCAGATGCCAATGAAACAGGGAAGCTCCAGTGTGGAGGGCCTCTTACTGCTCTGAATTCCACCAATGAGGTGCTAGTACCACATGCAGGTTCTGTGGTATAAAGCCATCATTACTTTACCAAGCAATAGGCCTCATACTGCAGCACTACTCATGTGAGTAAGGGTTTCAGGATGAGATCCAATGCCTCTTATCTTTGCTTCATTTACTGAGACCCAATCACTCAGTTACCATAGAACTCTTGCAATCAAATACAAATAAAAATGCAGTGCTAATGGAAGATGTTCTGAATTGCTAGCCTTTCAAAAATGGGCATAAAGCAAAGCATAAGTGTGTAACAATCTACATGAGTTGCCACAGAAGATTAGAAATACCTTTGGTTCACCACCTTACCTGTTGTACATATAAATGTGTACCCTGCTGGCTTGAAGTGCAGAGTCAAGGTGCTGTCTGAGTGCTTCTGTTGTTAATACATTAGCACCATCTTCTTGTGGTGTCTGAATCATGAGCTGGGGATTAAACATGGCCTCTTCTCCGATCTTCTGGCGTGTGTAATTTAACTCCCGACTCACTCGTCCACCAACTGACAGACAAATATTTACAGCTTTGTATTAGCCAATACTTTACTCTAGATTCAGATTATGAGAACTCACAGGTCACTGATGAAATTTGCTATTAAGTATGGAATACACAACAGTCAGTTTTGGGCTGAAATAGTTTTAAAGCTAATATTAAATTAATTTTGCCAACAATGTAATAATAAAAATATTCTCCATAGGTAGTACTTTCTGCGTTTAGGAAAAAATGTAAAAATATTGCTAAGGTAGGTTCACATAATGCGATGAATGTTGAGGGCCTTAGAAATAATCACCTAAATAAGAGCAATCCACTCTAGTGGTCTAATAGCTACACCATGTGCTGCCATGCAGTGGATCAGACTTCAAGGACAAACTTTGGTCCTAAGTCCATTGAGGCTGTATAGCCCCGTACTCCATATCAAGAGATGGCAGACAAGAGAAAGAGAGGAGGGAATGTAAAACTGATGGGCTGTAAAGGGAACCATATTCAACCTTTCTTGACATACAGAACTAAACAAGAGTGGGAAATGGGTGAAATCAGACCCTGAGTATTATCTTCCTACTAGCAGCACCAGACCATTCAGACAAAGAAACCAATTCATATTCATTTCATGTTAGACACAACCTTATTCCTCACATAATCCAACTGACATCAGTGGGACCCCTTGTGGAGAAAAGGGTTACCCAGTCTAAATTACAGTACCAGAAACTGGCCTTCTGTAAATAAAGAAACCTCAGCTTCTTTCTGTCATGAAGTTTGCTTAGTTTTGAATTCCAGGAAGCAAGCAGTCTTTGGAGAAGTAAATAACTGTTTGCACAAAGATCTTGGTTCCTTTTCTCCAGCTATTTTCTCCAGTGTATTACCTCCTCCACATTGTTATAATTCATACCAGATCACAACCATCATTAGCAACAGACACTTTACTTTTCACACCCCAGTTGCTAGAACAAAGCAAAAAATATTTCACAGGGATTCTTCATTCATCCCAAATGAAGACAAATAACATAAAACACTCTATGTGGAATTCTACCCAAGAATTATATTTACTATTTCTCCTTTCTGAGTTTTGTATACTAAGTGAAGCACAATTAAATGCAAACACTAATCAAGCTGTGCAATCCAAATCAAATTATTGATCTAGACTGAAAAGCTATTTATCACACAAATCCATTTTTGAAAGGCAGATAACTGCACTTAGAGCAGTTGTTAATAAAATATCACTGCTTTCTGGATTAAGTTAATAATATCCCTCACTTCCCTCTCCACAGGACAATGCTCTGTGTTACTTCAACAAAGTTTGACTGGGCTTGCATAGGTGCCAATGACACACTTTTTATGTGTGAAAATCAACAGTTCTTAGAACAAAAGTCAGTCTCCTGCACTCCTTTCTAGAATTCTTTAGATGAAACCCATTCAGGACTGAAATTGCCTCTTCTTTATGTTGCTACAGCATTCAGCTCAATGATACCCAATCTAATTAAGGCCTTTGGGTGCTACGATAGCATAACTATTTAGAAGTTTCAGAGGAGTAGCCGAGTTAGTCTGTAACAGGAAAAACTTTAAAAAACAATGAAGTCTTGTAGCACCTTAAAGACTAACAATACTATTCTACCATTCAATTCTTGGATCAGTACATTTCCGTTTGGAATCACTGGAATTTAACTCCATTTTAGCCAACAGCTCAAATCTAATGCAAGACATTCCCCATCTCTGCTGAAAGTGACCAACTGTTTACTATCAACAGAAATGATTGCTTCTTAATCAAGGTGCTGTCAAACTATATTAACCTCACTGGTGAAGGCAAATTTAGCTAATGAGAATGATATCGTATCTGTCAGTTGACGAGAAAAGGTATTTTTTTGCTTACATTCAACATCAGAAATACAAAATAGTCCAAGAAAATGGACATATGCCCCGGTATGCTGAAAATAGTACGTGCAGCAGCATTCTTGTTAAACAGACATTGCACCATTTCTTAATTTATTCCTAGCTCCATTTAGGATTTCATTTATCTCAATAGGATTAAAACATGGTATATCAGAGTACATTTTAAGTGATGTAACAATACAAACCTATTTATAAATTAGATTAAAAAGGAATAATCTGTTTGACTGCTAAAGATAGATATGTATAGATAACATATGTATAGTTTGGAACAAATCATTACATTAATGATTTTTCAACATGTCCAATGAGGAGAGGAATAAGAGGCAAAAATAAGGAACATTTTCTATCAACTATGTGTCTATATTCATTTTAAGGATTTAAAGACTTCATGATTAGTGTACAACTATGTCAACCCCATGTAGTCCACTCTTGACTTTCATCGATCCACAGCTAGTACTGAAAGCACTCACGGAAGGCAGACACCATTAAAAATGCCACTAACTTCATCTTGAAGCTTTCAGCCTTATTATGCACCAAAGCTATGCTAATACCTCTCAGAACATGCACACTGTTGTGTGTCATTCTTTATATATATTAAACAAATAAATATATACTGCAAGCATCAGAAAATTCCTTCTGAATAAGAAGCATTATGGAAAACTCTGTTCGTCATCAAAATTATAGTCTTTGTCTGTGTGTGTCTTTTTTCCTTTTATATAAAGTGTTTTTATGTGGGAAACAAGAATACTTTTTAGTCAGATCTCTACTAATTTAAAGTTGTAAGGGCCTAAATATGTCAATGGCCTATCATAACAATACATCTCATTTTACTTACATGGAACAAATCAAAGAAAATTTTGGTGTGATGATCTGATGATAAAATCCTTGACAGTCACTCTCATGGTTTTATATATTAAAGCCACCTGATAGCATTCTAGTCCCAAATTATATGATTCCTTATGATTTAGTGTCTATACAGCTGAGTTGGTAGCATTATTACCTCTAAGTTGGAAGACAGATTTAAGTGTATGACAATACTTTTAGAGATACCATCAGATTCTAGGTGGCTGCGTGGAACTAAGATACCATATCCCTTTCTCAAAATCCAGGGTAATAAAATCAGTGCACTTGGTTTTATTATTTCTCTCTTAATAAATCAGTTTGTAATACTCAAGAATGTGTATGAAATCTAGTGCTGAATGTAGGATGACTCTGCATTTGCATTCACTCCCAGGATCTTCCTTGCCATCACACTTCAAAATAAATATTAGTTTTCGTGAGATGTGCTAAGTCATCTCTTCATGCGCAGGACAGCTACAGAACAGGAAGTACTGTGCAAGTGTCTCTCATAGTGTCTTGCCAAAATACTTCAGACTTGACCTTGAAAGATCATCCATATTAGTACAAAGTAATTCACTTTCCATGCTCATTAAGGGCCTGATTATGCTTCTGTTGAAGTTAATGGGAATTCTACTGATTTTTAGTGGGAGTCAGGTCAAGTGTAAATCCTTTTACAGTCTCCTGAGAAAGGCAAAAGTGCTAATTGTGATGTGGACACTAGTCCACTAAAAATGAACTAAGATTATCAACTTTTTTCTGAGACCAATGAACAGCTGTCAGGTGGTAACAAGTTTTAGTCTTTCTTAACCTCAGGCAGATTTGAACCAGTGACCTAGAGGTGAAAGGCTCTGTATCTTATTACCAAGCCCCTGAGCCACACTCCCAGTATCTCAGTCATCACTTTGTAAAGTGCTTTACAATACCTTAACTATGAAGCACCCTACATAAAACTAAATTCTGCTGTCTTATATATCTCTAAATACTGACATATATTTCCCAAAGACAGTACAACACATCAGTACTGAACTCTTTTCATTCTAACTACTGTTCTATATTTGTTTTCACTTTGGCAATTTCTAACTGCCAGACTTTCCCGATTTACTAATAGCCTCAAAATGATTATGTAATTCAATTAATACATACATTTCAGTAAGATTAACTTACATATACCATTGTCTTAGCTATACCTGCCTCATAAGCAGCCTCAAACATTAATGCATTACATTAATACTTCCTGAAAGCTCTCTGGAACCTGTTAACTAGAAATCGGAATTCCCTCTGGAAAAAGTAATTTTATTAACAAGACTCTCTTCTGCTACAAATTTTGACCCTAAATCATAGAATGAGTGATAGCCAAAAGCACTGTGCATTAATTAACTGTCTACCTTTTTGTTCGAGAAGTAAAGATTTCTTTTTCAGAAAGTCATGTAGTGCCCCTTTTCAAATGAGTGGTATTAAAGCACTGGACATATTCTGAGATTTATTTTTAAGGTAAGGATAGTTTTTGATAATTGATAATTACCTTTCATCCATTTGTACTGTAAAATGACTTTAAATGATTTAATGTAAGCCATCTCCCAAAGAAGACCCCTATAAACCATATAATTTTGGACAAAATATAATATTTTACTTTACGTAGGACTGAATTTTTACACAGAGGCAAATATTTTCAAAAACGACTATTGATTTTGACAGCGTCTACTATTTGGTGCTCAGCTTGATGCACCTAAATGGGGCTTGTTTTATCAGAAAATGCTGAGGGTCTGTTCTTTTAAAATAATGCCCCTTAACAGTGTCTCCATTTGGGCACCCAAAAATGAGGGCACCCTAAATCAACAGTGACTTCTGAAAGCCATACCTGAAAGTTGTGAAATTTTAAGCACATGGCACATTACATTTTTCATTTTCAATACCATATAAATCTTCATTTTAGATCATTATGGACTAACAGTGTTGGTTTGCCATCTATTTTGAAATGTATTCTACCTAATACAGCATATGACATCGAAATTCTAAGTATATGTCCTGCCTTCATGCGCTCTTCTCAACCCCAAAAAAGATATATAGCTCCAGTCTGATAAATCTTTTCATATTCAAAAAGGCATGTAAAGGCAAAGCTTCTTTTCCTAGCTCTTCTTAAGTGTTATAGAGTGCTCTCATTTACTGTTTGGGCAATGCCAAAAGCAAATCCCCAGCAGTGTTTGATACTAATTACAACCTCAATAGTTCAGGCAACTACTTTATAGTAAAAACAGGGATTGGGGGAAAAAAACAAAA